ACTCCGGATGAAGCAGAGGATCTTACAAGGACGGAGGGGCGTTTCCGTCATTTCCGTGTGTTTAATGAAACCCTAGGTTTCATTTTGTGTTTGTCATTCGAACGCTTTCAGGTTTCGGGATGGTTTTCGGCTGAGAGGTTCTCTCTCATCCGGCGAGCCTTGCTCGCAGTTTTCCGGCCCGTTCCGGCGGTGTCCGGTGGTTTTCCCTTGTTATAACCCTAGCAGAAACACGCGGCTTCCTCTTCCCGAGACGTAGGCCCGAGCTTTATGCTCGGAGCTGAACTCGTATCTCGACTGTGTCCTCTGTTTTCTTTGCCGTTTATACACACGAGTGATCAGAGAGAATGGCGAGGCGAACCTCGACCGGGGCTAATCCACAGCAAGTGGTATCAGAGCCTGGTCTCGGGGCAAGCGGTGGCTCAACGGCGTCTCGATTCGTCCAGGGTTAGAAACAAGAAAAGGAGGCCAGAAATGGACAGATCAGAGGAGGAGACGGCGGAATCGAGCGGCGGATCGGCAGATCTGAGGTCGAGGTAAGTCGAGGTACGTCGGATTTGGGTCTGAGCTTTCTAATTGGGCGCGTGAGTCGTTTCAGATGGAAGAATCGAAGGAGCCGAGGCCACATCGTGGGAAATCGGCGGCCAGCACCGGCGGAGAGGCTCAGATCGGCGGCGAAAGAGGTAAGTAACTCTCGGATCTAACTCGGACTGAGTAAATCGGCCGAGTTAGAACCCGAGGAAGGTGAGTTCTGATTGTGCGTGTGTAGATCTAGGGTTCGGGTGAGAAAACCGGTGCAACACCGGGATTTTCCGGCGAAACTCGGCCGTGACTCGCCGAGTCGCGGCTGAGTCAGAGAATCGGGGTGAGTCAACCACCGGGTTGACTCGGGTGACTCGGCGGGCTCCCCCAACCCAAATTAGGGGTTTTTGGGTTTGACCAGCCGGTTTAAATCGAATTGAGTAATTAAACCCGGTCCGATTTAAAATCGAACCGGTTTAGGTTGGTCAGGTCAAACCGTTGACCAAAATTGGTCAACAGTTGACCGGTTAGGTCAAACCGGACTGGTCCAGGTCAATTGGACCGGTTCAGGTCCGGTTTGGGGTCAATTGGACCGGTTCAGGCCGGTTTGGGTCATCCAGGTATGGTTTAGATCGATTGAGTCCGGTTTAGGTCATTCCAGGTCCGGTTTAGGTCGATTGAGTCCAGTTTAGGTCATTCCAGGTCCGGTTTAGGTCGATTGAGTCTGGTTTAGGTCATTCCAGGTCCGGTTTAGGTCGATTGAGTCCGATTTAGGTCATTCCAGGTCCGGTTTAGGCCAATTGAGTCCGGTTTAGGTCAATTGAGTCTGGTTTAGGTCAATCTAGGTCCGGTTTAGGTCAATTCAGACTAGTTTAGGCTGGTTTAGATCTAATTTAGGGTCTGATTTGTTCGGTTCTGTCTAATTCAGACTGTTAAGTCGGGTAGAGGTCAATTTAGGCCGGTTTAGACTTGGTATAGGTCTGATGTAGGTCTGTTTTGTCCGGTTAAGGCTAGAATCGTTCGGGTTTAGATTAATTGGGTTCAGTTTAGGTAAATCAGACTCGGTATAGGCTGAAATAGGTCTGATTTAGGTCTGATTTATCGGTATAGGAATGGTATTGATCATGTTAGGGTCTGAATTCGTGGTTAGGACTAGATTAGATCTGTTTTAGGGTTTGGAGTGTACAATTAGGACTAGAACTAATTGGTTTAGGGTTAGGTTAGTTCAAATTAGGTCTGATGGTGTCTGGTTTAGGGCATAGTGGACTAGTTTAGGGTAGATTAGGGTCTGTAGTGATCGGTTTACCCTGTTAGGCTGGATTAGAACTCAATTTGGCTTGGTTTAGTGAAAATTCACTAGGGATAGACCTGTTTAGATCTCGGTTTAGCTGATGTGGGTCATAGATTCCGGTTCTCTGTTCAGTATAGGTCTAAATATGTTGGATTTGACTACCTTTAGCTGGGTAAGAGGTCTGGGTAGACTTGAATAGGCTGGTATAGGTCTGAAATTGACTGGTTTAGGTCGGTATAGATTTGTAAGGGCTGTTTTAGGTCTTGGTTTAGGTCTGGTTTAGCCAAATTTGGGTTAGTCTAACATGGTTTAGGTCTGATCAGTAGGTAATTAGGTCAAAATAGACTTGGTTAGGTCTGATTAGAGGTTTAAAATGTCTATAGAGACGTTGTCTAGGTCTAATCAGATTAGAATCTGATTATACATTTAGGTATTATCTAGTTTAGGACTAGATAGAACTCCTAAGTATTAGGTTTGAGTCATAGAGTCCGGTACATTGACCGGTTAGGTCTGATTAGCTGGAATTTGACTAAAACAGGTTGGTTTAGGGGTTGGTTAAGTCTAGAATCACTAGGTATAGGTCTGTAGGGGTCGGTTTAGATCAGGGCAGGTCTATAAGGGTTGGTTTTAGGCGTTTATAAGGTCTGATCAGAAGTAAATTAGGTCTTATTAGGCTTAGTTTAGGTCTGATTAGGGTGCTAAAAGTCTAATCAGGGGTTGGTAAGTCATTAGGGTTGGCTTAGGTTTGGTGATTAGGACTTTTAGGTGTCTAACTAGGACTTATGGTCATCTAATCAGGGGCTTGTCAATTAGGGTTGGCTTAGGTCTGATTAGGGTGTTGTGGTGGTCTAGTCGGGACTTTTGGTTGTCTAACTAGGGCTGTTAGGGTCTAGGTAGCACTTGGGTAGGTCTGATTAGGACTTTGTGAGGGGCCGGATAGACTCGGGATCGTAGGACTGGTTAGGACTTTGTTGGGGGCCATGTAGACTCGGTGTTGTAGGTCTGATTAGACGTAATCAGGTTTGTGTAGCCTTAAGTTAGGTCTGGTTAGACGTAATCAGGTCTTAAGGTAGGCTGTGTTTCGAGTCTAATAGATCGGTTAGGCAAAATTATGCCTAGGGTAAGTCCAATCAGGTTTGTGCGAGAGTCTAGCAGGTCGGTTAGGTAGAAATATACCTTGTGTTAAGTCCAATCAGGTCTGGTCTAGAGTGTGTTAGATCCGTTTAGGTAAGATGTACCTAGGGAGATGTTCGGTTAGACTTGGTTTAAACTCCGTTAGATCGGGTTTAGGTTGAGTGTCTAGGTTAAGTCTAGTTAGGTCGTGCTCTCTAGGTCTTGTAGGTCTGATTAGGTAGAGACGTACCTAGGTCTAGGACCGATAGACTAGGGTTGGAGCGTGTTTAAGCACGGCTAGGTAGAAATATACCTAGGGTTAAGTCCTCTAGGGTTCGGTCTCATCCCTCGTGTCATGTTACATCACTTCTAGGGTCGGGTAAGTCACTT